CGCACAGTCTGCCGTTTGCTTGTAGATTTTACCATAGAAGTAAAGAGCTACAGCTTTGGTTTCTTCCCCCATACGACCACTAATGTGATGTAAACAGGAGAGGCAATGTGACTGTTTCTCCATCACTCCATCAACCATTCAAACAGTGGGAGAACGAAAGAGACGACAAAATCCGCAAAATCATTCTAGTATAAATTCCACTACTACACTATGTTTGTTTTTATTCGCAATGAAAGTTTGACAGATAAAATGAGGGGTTCGTGGATTTTTCCTATGTTTCGAGGGGTGCATCGATTAGCTTGGGACCGAAGATAGTACCAGAGCTGAGCCAAAAAGTTGAGCTCGTTTCTTCGGGACCTTCTGGTCTTAGAGTTACCTCTATGGTAGAGCGCTGGCGGAATTTCTTTCTCCACATCCATGTAAATTCCGCGGAAACTAGTGAATAAATTCAGTTGATATTCGGGTGAATACTTTTCCCGGACACAGCGCTTAATCTTCTCAAATTTGTCCAGCTCAGGAGACACAATTTCAGTATTAAGCCGGTGACAGTAATATAAAAATACAACTGGTTTCGTCTTCAGTCAAACTACTTCTGATCGGTTTATTTCACCTATTCTTTTACATCACTTCACTTGAGTCGGGACCCGAGCTATACGCTCTTTTACCATAGAGGTAACTCTCCAACCTCTCGACTGTCGATCTCATCCATTCGAAGGTAACGGTCTGGTTTGCCTCACTACAAAACATCGAAATGGCATTGCCTACTGCACCGTTACAAGCAGCAAGATCATGATCGGATACCCATACCCACAACCCGTTACCGATATGCAAACCTCCACTTGTGTTCCATTAGAATAATGGAACGTTTGCTTTTTATCGTTACGAGAGAAGGCTTCCCTCATGCTTTCCTCGGACTTGTATTTAATCAATACCATCCTCTCCTCTGCATTCTTTTACGCCGTATCCCTTTTTTCCTGGTCACCGGTGAGGCCTTGCATGAAACGGACCATCTCCGGCAGAGTTGGCTGGGCAGCATTATCCGGTAATACGAAAGCAATGGTATTCGTCACTGCAATTACACTCGACAGTTCACCGTAATGTGACAGCTATCAAAAGCAACCGAAAAAACAGCGCCGCGCGTGAACAAACGTCTATCGGCAATGAGATCAGATCTTTGAGCTTGCTAATGTTAGTAGCAACAATATTGTAAACATTACTGAGCACTCAAGTGACGACGCTCCCACATATCATCGACCAATGAAGGAATCGCTGGTTTCCTTTCGTAACGCGCAATGTCACAAACGTAAACAATGACTCATTCCTCGAATTTCTATAGAATGAAAACTCGCCTAAGTAAACATTTTAAACAGAATTGGAATTAAAATTGAGGAGCTCGATTATTATATATATAGCTGAAGTATCCTTAGATTGAGCTATCTGAGATGATATTTTAAAGTAAATATAAAACTTTTCGAAAAAAGCGTTATTTAACTAGGGCTACAAAGATTCAAACTTAGGATACTTGTCTTTGAGGAGTTTTACATTTCGAACAGAAAACATTAAAATGTTGTACATATATTATTTTCAAACTACATACGCTAGAAATCACTGTATAATCTAATTTTATTCGTTTACTATTATAATCGGTATAACACCGACGTTATATTTGAATTCATGTTTAATGTCGTTTAATCTTATGAACCTGTCTTGTCTGAAATACGAATCACATTTTTTAACAGTGAAAAATGATGATTCATATTACGGACACTTCATTTTTTATTAATGTTGGAACGTGTTAATATTTTGATTTAATTTAAAAAAGAACAATGATTTTTTGAACCAGCCAAATGCAGTGCGGTGCACCCAGCCCCCTCGAAAACGTTATCTCCCGTTATTTACGTTACCAAACACACACATCAATTTTTAAACGAGCTGTCATTTTAGGGTAACAACAGCGCTTGACATTTGTATCAAAACAAAAGTCTTCATCCGCACCCGGCAGTCCGGCAAGAAGTATACTGCAATATATTTCACGAAAATTGCAATGTTTGAGCGATACTTGGCCGCGTTGGAATACCCCGCCCAGGGTGGGATCAATATTGACGGTAAGAATATTCTATTTGATTTGTTCGTCGAATGGTAATTATCATTTCATTACCGCAGATCCTAAAGAGTTCCGCAATATCGTCCTGTGGCTGGAGGATCAAAAGATTCGCCACTACACCATCGAAGACCGGGCGAATCTACGGAAGGTGGGCGCCGCTGCCGACTGGGATCCCGCCTATGATAAATACAAGATGGATTTGAAATATCCCACCGATCTGAAATCGAAAGCCGAAGAGTTAACGTGGCTGTTTCTGTATGCGATAAAGCTGGAATACTCCGACAATGCCGACCGGTATCGGCCCGTTACCGCAGCTCGGAAGCTGGAAGAGGATAAGAAGGCCACAGCGGCGCCGGAGATCAAATCGACCAATCCGTTTGATAATATCGATTGTGAGTTGGTTGTGTTTTTTTAGATTCGAGGAAGTTCGTAATATTTCTTTAATTTTCAGTCACAAGCCCTGAATTTGAGGAGGGTTCCAAAAAGTTAGCGGAAAAGCTGGGAATCGCCTATCACCCGGATCATTTGGTTTCGGTGAGATCGGCCGGACGGGTGATCTCAACTATGTTCAACAAAGAAGCTCTCAAGGAACCGATCATCACCGGAAAACCATTCCCGATCGGCGAAGGCACAGGGATGGGATTCCAGAAGGAACCCGATCTGGAGCGGGCAGCGCGAATCCTGCGATTGTTGCAGATTCAAAGTCTGCGGAAGCTGCAAACCGCCATCAATGAGACGATCGTTTCCGTGCAGAACATCACCGCCGATCCGAGGACCGATACTTCGCTGGGAAAGGTTGGTCAAAAGTAAGGGGGCGTTCGGATCAAGGAAGTAATTTCCCACGCGTCGCTCGTGGAGTGTATTCCAGGTCTTAATTTATGTGTAATTTTTCATTTGGTCAAATAAATCATACTAGTAATCTACATACATGTAACATCAACAAACAAGACGGTGGATTTAGTTCTTTGGGGCTTCCCGTGATTTTCCGAAAGGGTAGACATCTAGGAGTCGCGTTATTCCGATTCCGCCGGCCACTGTAAGTTGCAAATTGTTGGAACTTGTTACAGGGTTACTGAAAATTTGAAATGTCCCCACAATGCGTCTTCTTCTTTGGCTTTATTACGCCCTCACTGGGAGACATTACTTCGGCTCTGAACTTAGTGTTTTTAAGCACATCCACAGTTGATAATTGAGAGCTTTCTAAGGATGTACCATTATTGCTTTAGTACATTTGTGACAAGTACAATCATACTCTATGCCAAGGGAAGTCCCACAATTTCAAATGATTTAAAAAATGTAGACATGTTATCAAACCTGGCACCTCTGATCTCTGATAAATGCCACAGAGATGATAGGTTTGAAGACATGTCTTTTTGATTGAATAGCCATTCCACGAAACATGTTCTACTCTTCTCTGCTCTATGTTTATTCTTAGGTCAGATTTAATATTTACCTGCCGCCACGCCGTATATGGCGTATCTACCAACTGCCTGAGGTCTCTTCTGTGCCTGCATCCAAATGTAGACTCCCATTCCGAGCACGCCCGTTCCGCTGACGATTCGGCATGTAAGGCAATCCTTATGCCGGCTCGCCACCACTGATTCGGTCATTGCGAATGTTTATCATTAAATTTTCCACGAATTCAAATTCAATTTTAGTAGCTCATGAATCGAATTTTACTTCAGGTGAACATAAACCAGCTCGGTAACCAAATAACAATGCAAATACTACGGAGGCTCGTTTAGTGAACGCTGTCATCGAATCAGATACATCGAGGCGTTACGAGCCGTTAGCAATGAAATTTGTAAACAAAACAAATTCTAAACTAGGATTTTTTTTCTTCATCAAAACCATTAGGTATTTTTTTAATGGCCTCCGAAGAAGACTACCTACCCGAGTGTTGTGGTTCCGGCTGCACAAATTGTGTACTCGATCGTAAAGTGAAATTCCGAAAACATCCGTCTACCTCCAACCGACCAAGTCTTCTGGACAGCAGCTACAAACCATTCCAATGCGTCGCCATCACGCAGCGCACACCAAATACTTTCCATTTCCGGTTCCGATACCATCCCCGAACAGAAGACAACGATTGTGCCGGCTACGAGCTACAGATCCCTCCCGGTAGCCATCTGATGCTGCGAGCACCGAGAGGTTGGAGACAGACGGAGCGTGGGCTCAATGCTATGTTTTCAACATGGCGGAACGAAACGGCTTCAGCGGAAGCGCGTGTTGCTCATGGTGGCGACAGGAAGTCGGTTGAAAAGTACGATCGAAGCGAGCGTGATTTGTACTTTAGTCGACCGTACACACCGATCCAGGTTGATCGAGATGCGAACGAGTTTGAAGTTCTGATAAGGATGGAAACGGCAGGGGAGATGTCTGAGTATTTGCAGACTTTGAACGTTGGTGACGTGACGGAGTGGAAGGGGGTTTACACCGGTTTCGTGTGGGAAAGAAATGCTCGGAAGAACTTGATCTGCTTAGCGCAGGGAGTCGGATTGGCACCGATTTACTCCATCGTGGCGGCCATTTTGGAAGATGAGGCGGATGAAACAAGACTGAAGCTGGTCTACTGTTGTAAAGATGTGGAAGGAATTTTGATGAGAGATGAGCTGTTGAAGCTGGGAGCGTTCTGGAACTTCGAAGCTACGATTTATCTCTCTAGGGAAAGCTGTTTCTGTGGCGCAAAGTCGTCCAGGAGTTGTGCGTGCCTGTCATCGAAGAAGAAATACAACGAGCGGGTCTTGAATCACAGACTGGAGAAAATTGACATAGAGACTTTATTGCTTCGGTATGCTCAGGATTCGCTCCAGGTCCTAATCTGTGGAACGGAATCCTTCGCGACGCTTGTAGAGAGTTGTTTAGTAGATTTGAATATAAGAGATTATTACAAATTTTAATAATAAAAAAATCGATGTTTTATCAATCTAGACTACGCTTTTCTTGAACTGCTTTTGAGCGTGTGGCGACGGATTTTCTCCTTTTCCCGTTCGAGCTTCCGTCCGGAGGTGGCTTCCTCGAGGCCTCCGCGCGTAAGCTGATTGAAGTCTATAATGGTAAGGCAGGGTTTTGGCGGAACGTTCAGGATCTCGATCGGGGGCATCTTGTGCTGCTCCGGAGCCGTTTTGGGCTTCGGGGTAACCTTGAACCGGTAGTCGCTGCTAAAATCCAGATTGCTGAACCGAGCCGCCTGGATGTTGGACAGCGAGTACTGATCCGGTGGCCCAAGGGCACGCATCCGGAAGCCACCGTAGTGTGAGTACATGTAGCGTATCGGCGAGCCCTCGTTCGAGGTCGAACTGTCGTAGCAGATCGAGAGATCCGTATAGCTAATGGGAGCGTAGGTGCGGACGGTTTTGGGTCGCAAGCGAACTTCGCTGCGGGTTCGGGATCGTGCCCGGGGCCGGTGCGTTCGGGGTCGACCCTTGCGCGGTCGCAGCTCATCCACCGGTGGGATTGGCAGGATGTTGGTGAAGCGGTAGTACTCCAGGAAGGATCGCGCCAGGTTGCGACCGATTCGCATATCTGAAATGAGTGTTGGGATTAGAATTGCGTTTTTGGACAGTCTAATCCGGATTCCGGTATATTCTCGTCAATATCTTTAATTGATTTCAAATGCAGTATGGACGCCATTTTCAACTTTAATTTAGAATCCTGGTCCACTGAATAGACATCTACTTGTTCAAGTATTCTTCAGAATATGGTCTAGGTGCCGTATACCTGCGCCATTTTGTAAGCAAAGATGGCGGATAATGAAAGGCAATTATGATTAATTAAAAACGCTTGGCTGGGAGTTCATAGATCTTTAATGGAAACGCAAATTGAATTTCATATCCAGAGGAACTCAAGAGCATGACCATTCCAGAAGAACATACGAAAAAGGCTTCATGTATATGTAAAGAGAACTTTAATAGTAGTGGCTTTCGTATATTTTTGACGTAGGATTACGTCTTTCAGCAACATATTGGGGGTGCAATTTCAAAAAACCAAAATCGACCACGTTACGAAAAGTGGTCAGGTTTTGTCCACTTATAACTCTGTCAAAAACGGATGGGTTTTAATTCTAAACAAGCCAATCGATTGACAAATTTTCTACAAATCTGCTGAAATAAACACTTTATCAATTTTCATCAGGTTACTATTGAAAATTACACGAATGTCCAACTGTTCATCAAAATTATCACCGATTGCCTGCAAAAGGCGCTTTTCCTAACACAGTCGCCGAATATTGATACCGAGCACGTAATCCTACGTCAAATCTATGGTTGTGTCTTGTATACAACCTCTTAATTGCTGAGATCCACTATTTTGATTGAATCCCCATAAAAGGTTTCAAAATGGTAACGAAAGGCCTTTTACGGGGCTGTTCATAAATTACGTAGACAGTTTAGAATGGCAATTATCCACGACCCATACAAATTTAAAAAAAAAATGGACAATTGTCTACGCAGGGGGAAGGGGGGTTCAATAATCCCAGAAAACTGTTTACGTAGTTAATGAACAACCCCTAATAGCCTTTTTACTATATCCACACGACCCATTAGAGCACTGCACGCAAAATCTAACCTCAATTTTTGCCATGACAGTAAAAGAGATAGCAACGAACGGGAGCCAAAACAAACCCGGCAGAACTGTCAAAACTCGCTGGTGAGGAAAAGGAACGGGGAGATTTGGGTTAGGTTTCGCGCAGTGCTCTATTACTTACACCCATCTTCAGTGTACTGCGTCAGTAAGTTGCTATCGTTCAGGTAGTACCCACACATGGAAACCTCCAGCGTATAGGTATTGACATTATCACTCAACGCCTCCACAAAGAACCGCCGGGCAGTTCCGGATTTCCTATCGTCCGCGTTGAACATCATATGCTCTTGGCAGAAGTCTTCGCACTTGGCTGCAAACAGCTTGGGAAACACTAGATGCCGTTCGTACCGATACACATTGTCATACGTACTACCGTAGATGAACGTCCCCGTCAGACTCGAATGGGCGTGGATGTCGATCACAAAATCCACCTGGTAGCACTGAAATAAAGAAAGAAAAAAATTCTCTAGACAATTAGCATCACAGCTAAGATTCACCCAACTGACACTCGAGTTGTCGTACTCCTTCAGCATCTTCATGGCCGCACCCAGCGTCGGATGCGTATACTGGGACATCTTGTTCCACGATCGGTTCAAATCGTGTCCGATCACGTTGCACCGGTTGTTTCCCAAGAACACCCCATCTGGATTCAGCATTGGAATGATTTTGAACACCACATTATCCCGCAAGGCTTTCGATATCGGTTGATTCGCTGCCGCCAGGTATTCGATCAATCCCTGCACAACGTACGAAGCTGGCGATTCACCAGGATGAATCCTCGCCAGGATTACCACCATATGGATGACGTTCTTCTGATCGACTTTGTCCGGTTTCTTCACGTCGTCGAAGGTGACTACCTCCAGTTTGCGGTTTTGCTGCAATCGACATGAAAAGTTCAATAAGAAACAGAGGTGTAATTTAGACAGAAAACTCACAATCGTCATCCCCAGTGTGGTCCGCTCGAACGATTCCGGAAACTTGGTCTCCAACGCGTTTAGATAGGCCTGCAGTTTCGAGTACGAATACGGAAACGTCAGTGCAAATTGGTACACCTCGTCCTCCTTGTCGAATCCAAAAGCAAAGCTCAGCACATAATGGTTCTGATGGATGGCCGATTTGTAGTAGAAAACTTCGCACCTAGGGATACGTTGCCACTTGGGACGGCTGCTCGACTTGACGAGCGGTGTCATGCCATCCTTGAACAGGTTACGATTTTTGTTGATATTTACAATGTTGAATATCACCCGTTGGTCCTGTTTGACGTTGTCGACGGTGAAGTTGAACCAGAACCGGTACCGGGGATTGCACGTGTCCGGCCGGAGAAACAGATCGTACTCGAACTCGCCCACCAGGTCCACACGGCCAAGGTTGCCCGTTTCGAAGGCAGCATCGAAGCATAGGTGACCTCGTTTGGCTTTGCCGCTGTGACCTGAAATGAAAAGGCATTTGTGGTTCTTTAGAATTTTTGTTGAAGCACTTTATAACGTAGTTTCAACTGCAACTTTAAGCCATGCGTCTCCATTAGATGAGCGAGTTGCATGGAGAGTGTGGTGACTTGGCAATTGAACGACGAACCCCACCCAATTAGAGCGTCAAAAAGATTAAAGCTGAAAGAAGTTTATTTTTTATGTCACTAGGTGGATCCCGGCCGCTCAATTTCTTATTTTGTGAAACTTGTTTCTTAAGACATTTTATTTATTTACTCTTCATGTACAATATTTCTAATCCAGAGAAAAAATTTGCATTGCAAATGCACTGCCAATATTTTCCTGGATTAGTAATGTAGTAATGAACCTGGTTTTGGCAGCTCTCTTTCTGAAAATATTTTCGAATACACTTTGAAATCCATGCTCTTTTTCAGTGGTCTTATTGCACAGAAAGAATGACATGAGAAAGATTTGGAATTGCGGCTAAAATTAAAATGATTTACCGATAAGTCTGATGTAGAGATGGGCGATCCGCTCCCGAGCTGTTCTATAGACCCGATTCTCTAAAGTGAACTGATGACCCGCGGTTCATTTTTTAGGAACCGCAGCTCATCAGCTCACTGATATCACAAGTCTAAACCATACATTCCATCACTCATAGCGGAACTTTTAAAAAAGGACACATTACTCCACTTACGCATTGAACAGCTACCGCGTAATACAACATGTGCCTACTGATCGACAGCACCAACGGTAAAAGCAAACTTCCAAGCACCTGTTTGGGAAAGAGAGAAATATGTACATGTCTACACGATCTTAATTTTCTACTGGTATTATCCAATTTATTTATGTACCTACCCGGCTCTTATTGCTGATGTTATTCCTCCAGCATATGTGCTCTCACCTCTCCTCCCATAATTCTCTGGGGGAGCGGAAGATCCGCACAAAAGCAAATAATTGAAAAGCGAAATGCATCTCTCCAGCTTATCAGCTCAGCTCCGGATCCGAATCATCGACTCGAATGATTCACTGGGAGCTGCTTAGGATGACAACTCTTGGAACCGGCCAGCTCTTCGGATCTTTTTTTCTCTCTCCATTCTTCACGATTCAGCTCCGGATCCGAATCTGAGCTGATGATCTTGAGCTGATGCCGAGAATAGTGAGAGAAATTCTGCTGGAGAATTAACATCACAAATAAAATCTGTATGTAGACTGGATTGCATAGCTTGAGAAAAGGCGTAACATCGTGTGCCACGATTTCAATAATATCATCGCGTGTGACATAGGTGTAGCTCTTTCGCATACATGTTTTGCTTTTACTGATATGTTGTTGGCACATTTTGCGCGCATGGTTGACCAGTTGTTGCGTTAGTGGCGTTTTCCATTGAAAAGTAGTGCCATATATTGTAAGGTACGGATTTATTGGTTTAGACTACTTTTACGATTTTATGCAGTTTTAAGCACTAAAACCACTAATTAATTTTCCGATTTCGAATTTGTGTCATAATTTCTATAATTTCAATGTGAGCTGAAGAGCTCCCTTTAGCGAGCTGGATGGATTTTATCCACTCGGCCAGATGAGCTGTTTTGCCCACCTCTAGTCTGATGCGTGGAGAGAAAGACAAATTCTGGTCATTACTGTAACCGGTATATGTAACTTCGCAGATCCTAACTCCTGTCCGATACCCATATAGATAGATCTCTCACATCCGACCACATGCTACTGCCTTTAGATTGCTTAAAATTGAATAAATCTTCGTTTTACAATTCGTTACAATTGCGTTATAGATTTTGATCAACGGCACCCAATGTTTTGAATCAGGAACTGTAGGAGCAAAGGATAATAAAGTATTTTTTATTATTAAACTTATGTTCTCGCGCATACACCTGTACCTGTACCTGTGTCTGTGGATTAGCCTATCGGTCCCAAGTACATCGATGAACGTACCCCATTCTAGTCGAAATTCTAGTACTACACAATGTTTGTTTTGATTCGCTATGAAAGTTTGACAGATAAAATGAGGGGTTCGTGGATTTTCCTATGTTTCGAGGGGTGCATCGATTAGCTTGGGACCGAAGAGAGTACCAGAGCTGAGCAAAAAAGTTGAGCACGTTTCTTCGGGACCCACACCTATTGAGTGCAACCATTAAATCACGCTTATTGGTTCATGGTTCACCAAATCATGATTTCATTTTGAATTTTATACATAAATTTTGTTCTTGCTACCATGAACTTGGATCACGACCACAGCTGCTGCTGTCATTTTCAATCGTTGTTTATGACCAGTAGGCAAGGCGCGAGTTCACTTATATCAGCGAGATATGGACTATTTCGGCGGTAGCAGCAGCAGCGAGCGGTGGCAGTAGAATTGGTAAACCAACGAGTGCTGAATTCACCAATCAAGCAATTTCGTCTAGCTTCGGAGTGAACAGTGGAGCTGGCTCCAGTGCAGGTGATTTGGGCGCTAGTTGATTAGAAGAGTTGTGTTGATTTTTTCCTCCGGGACTGAATTCGTCCTACACGCAAAAAAAAACGTTCATATTTTCGAGAACAAAAAATCACGACAACGTGAACTAACAACTGCTTCAAATTCATGACTTAGTTCACATAAACGTGGTATAAAAAATCCAGCTTTCATGAAAAGAATCACGAATCCAAGAACAAAATTCAAGACTGTTCAGCACCCCAAACCATTTCGTAACGCATTAAAAAGCATGAAATATAATCATGATATCGTGACTTTATAAACCTTTAAGCGTGATTTTTGTTTCTACTTTCGTGAACGTTGTTCAGGCAACTGTCAATTTAGTGTAACGCATGCGAAAAAGGTTTTCATCTTGAATTCATCATTCAGTGTTGTGTGCAAAAGTTAAGTGAAATCTGTGAAATGCCTACAAAAGAGGAAATCAGATGGACTACTTGATGATACAGTCGAGCATGTACTCCTTGAACCGTCGGAACTGAGCAACTTTACGACCTAAACGTTGCAGCAGTAAATTGAATCCGAGGGGTCACTTATTGTTGAACGAAGCGCCTCCAACGCAGTGAAAAACGATACCGGGGTGCAATATGTTCTTCTTGACGAAGAAAACTGCAATGAGTTGATTCAAGATACAACAAGTGACCCACGGAATTCATTGGAGGAACTTCTTGCATCAAGAGGAGTCGGACATCACCAAGGCATCCTTCAAAATGTTCATGGCATTTTGACACCTCAAATGTTTTCAGAAATTCAGAAATTCGTTTTTATTTCATATCGGTAATGATAAAATAAAGTACTGTACGCATTTGTGCGTATTAAAAACGTAGAGCCTTTCTTTTTCTATTCGTCATGTGTAATTCAATACTGAAGAGATGATCCCGAAGAAAGAAATTCTCGCGATTCGTTGTTTAAATTCGTGCATTTTGTTCCGTCAAGTCATGATTTTCAAGAGAAGAGTTCACGTTTTCATGACATACGATGGCTGGGCTGGTGCATGGAGCGCCATTACGCAGGCGTTATTTTTATTTTGCGGAACAAGGTTCACGTTTCCATAAGTTTAGTTCATGGTGTACTTTCGTAAACAAAAAATGGACTTGTTCCGAAATTCGTGACCAAAGGTTGACAAATTTGGGAACGGATTTTTTCCCGTGTACAGTGTACACTATGGTATATCCATGATTTTTATTCATGGTGTATGTTAGTTAAGATCGAACCCTCCTGGATCCCCAACGAACAACGAACAACGAACAACGAACAACGAACAACGAACAACGAACAACGAACAACGAACAACGAACAACGAACAACGAACAACGAACAACGAACAATGAACAACGAACAACGAACAACGAACAACGAACAACGAACAACGAACAACGAACAACGAACAACGAACAACGAACAACGAACAACGAACAACGAACAACGAACAACGAACAATGAACAACGAACAACGAACAACGAACAACGAACAACGAACAACGAACAACGAACAACGAACAACGAACAACGAACAACGAACAACGAACAACGAACAACGAACAACGAACAACGAACAACGAACAACGAACAACGAACAACGAACAACGAACAACGAACAACGAACAACGAACAACGAACAACGAACAACGAACAACGAACAACGAACAACGAACAACGAACAACGAACAACGAACAACGAACAACGAACAACGAACAACGAACAACGAACAACGAACAACGAACAACGAACAACGAACAACGAACAACGAACAACGAACAACGAACAACGAACAACGAACAACGAACAACGAACAACGAACAACGAACAACGAACAACGAACAACGAACAACGAACAACGAACAACGAACAACGAACAACGAACAACGAACAACGAACAACGAACAACGAACAACGAACAACGAACAACGAACAACGAACAACGAACAACGAACAACGAACAACGAACAACGAACAACGAACAACGAACAACGAACAACGAACAACGAACAACGAACAACGAACAACGAACAACGAACAACGAACAACGAACAACGAACAACGAACAACGAACAACGAACAACGAACAACGAACAACGAACAACGAACAACGAACAACGAACAACGAACAACGAACAACGAACAACGAACAACGAACAACGAACAACGAACAACGAACAACGAACAACGAACAACGAACAACGAACAACGAACAACGAACAACGAACAACGAACAACGAACAACGAACAACGAACAACAACAACAACAACAACAACAACAACAACAGTTATGTAATTTTCAGTATTTACTTATTTAAAATTAATATAGTGTTCAATTTAGCAGATTCGTACCTAAATTTCTAATCAATTGGCTTGTTTAGAATTAAATCCATCTGCTATTGACAGAGTTATATGTGGTCAACCTGACCTCTTTTCTTAATGCGGTCGATTTTGGTTTTATGTTGCCGTAATACGTAATCCTACGTAAAAAAATACTCTTTACCAAATTTATGGTTTTGTCGTGATGGTTGATTAATGC